AATTAGAAATTTTCAAAATTTTCCTGATAAAAATGCAATTTGCGCGGAAAAATCTGGCAACATTGGAATGTAGATACGTCCCTTATATGAGGGAAACGATGAAATGTGGCTTATCCGTAATTGTCAGGGAATTTCGCAGAAATGTGTCAGGGAAATCAGTTAGAAATTCTCAAAATTTTCCTGATAAATACGCAATTTGCGTGGAAAAATCTGGCAACATTGAAATGTAGTTACGTCCCTTATATGAGGGGAACGATGAAATGTGTCTGGTTGTGGTTGTACCCGAACGGTGACCTACGGAATTGAAGCCACCGTATGGAGCTAATTTTTTAAGCAACGGCGAAAAAACGGCGGGCGAAGCCGAGATTGCGTTCAAGAAATATCCCCCCAAAGGAGAGAGCAAATAGCGACAAGATAATATCTTGAGATGAGACGTCAAAACCGACGAGACCCGTGATGGAAAAGAGGGAAAATGTCGGAAACTCAATAGGTATACCACTTTTTCTGGGATTTTTTCCGCTCGGAAGATCAGATATTTTATTTTAGATTGCGTTATGACCCACGATCATTGAGATTCTACTTCTAACCTCCCCTCGCTCTTCTCACCCCCCCTTCGTATCCTCTCCTGGCTTTTCTCCCAACAAAGCAAACTAATTGCAGCACCGTTGCAAGATGCAACGTATGAACTAAGAGTCTTTTCCTAGGCTAAACCTTTCAGCCTCGGAAGAATTTTCTCCCTGTTTTTTTATTATTTCCCCTTCTCTTTTTGCAAAACATGCTTATGGATGTGAAGGATTATCTTGGAGTTGATGGATGATTCTAAATACGGTCCTAGAATTGATGAAGAAGCTAGAGAGGCTTATAATGGAGAATTTGCAGGTGTCTAAAATTTTGTGTATTTCATGTTTAAGATGAAACTACTAAGAGAACTGAGCACTAGGATACTCTTGGTTTCTAAATTTGCCGTCTCCCTCGCGAAAAAACGTGACTTTATTTCAATGTTGCCAAATTTCCCCGCGCAAATTGCATTTTTATCAAGAGAATTGCGGAAATTTCTAATTTAATATTTCACTGATTTTCTCCTGATCTCATACAAAAATCGCACAGGTATACTCCTGTGAAAGATTACATTGTTTGAGTCAAATCCGCAACCTTGGGATTGAGTTACGCTCCTTCCATAGGAGAACGAGGAAATATACGTAAGAATAAACCTTTTAAACGATCTCGAAGAGGGGCATAAAAGACTTGGAAAACGATAGGAAAGACGGTGGATGGAGCATGGACGGAGTTAAATATGATGATACTGTCCGTATGAAAAAGTGAATTTTATCTTCACGTTTCTCAAATTTTTTTTTCCGTACACAAAGTTGTCGTACCATTTGACATCGGGGGATACGTCACTGCGACTGCAGGGCCATGGCCGCCGCGAATCCTGAAACCGCTGAAGAGGAGGTCGATGACAAAATCGACACCAAGGAAATGTTCTCTTTGAAAGATTTTCTGGAGGTGAGTTATTTCGACGGACTCGCCTCGACCTCTGTATTGGTGCTATTTCGCAGTGGCGAGGCATGAATGATCGATTATAGATATTTCCCCACTTTAAGCTACGGTAAAGAATCGATTATTGCAAACACCCTGTTTATCGAGTAATCGATTTATAGCAAAGCAAGCCGCGTCACTGTTAGTTGGTTGTGTGAGCTTAGTCAAGGGAGATTTCGCGACTGCAAATAAATGCAGAAGTTTTTCAACCTTGATCGGCGATTTTGCGCGAAAAATTCTGATTCCGCGAAAAAATTTACGATTTCACGAAAGCTTTTGCGAGTTTTCGATCTATTTGTGAGATTTCTAAAATTTCAATCTTCCAATTCAGGGGCCGTTCATAAAATACGTAACGCTGAATTTCGGATTTTTCGACACCTCCCCTTCCCCTCGTAACGTTTTGTGAAGTAGGCCCTTTTTCTTTCAAAAAAACCTTTCCTTCACCATCCTTTCACGTGGAAAGAAAATTGTACAACGTCCTCCTCTAGCCTTCTTCCCTCCTCCTAGAGTGTTACGTATTTTATGGACAGTCCCTTCTTTGCTGAAGAGATGAAATCTTTGTAAGTTTCGAAACTGAAACCAGGGTTGCTAAGGTCAGGGAAAACCTGGAAAAGTCAAGGAAAATAACAAAAATGTCAAGAAAAATAGTTGGGTCACCTTTATTTGCCGTCAGGAATGGGTTTGACGTTTCGAACAACGCATTTTCCCTGAAAACTATTCCCAATGGCATCTTGTTAACCATTCGGCATATCGACGGTGCAAGTCGGCAATCACATAACTCGGTTTGCGACGTCGCAGACTTCCTGTCATACTTTATTTTTTAAACGGAAAACTACTCAACGGTAATTCTTTGAAACTGCCGTGATTTTTCTTTTATGTGCGAGGAAAATTCTGCAAAAACTTCGAGGAATCATGTCCATTTGTTCTCCTTTAAAAAAATAACATAGTTGCGGAGATTTTCAGACACCGCAAACNGTCATGCCGCAATCAGACGCTGAATTTAGCACCTGAATGTGGAAGTCAACAGTCATCGCCCAACGGCTGAAATTTAGCAAATTCGAGTTATTTTCATCCAGATGTGTATCAAATCTACTCGAGTAGTTCAGACAAATTCAAAATTGGTCCGATGGTTGCTGAGAATCGTTGCTGAATTTTGCGCGTCACGCGCAAAATTCAGGCATCGGGCCGATGACTTCCACATTCAAGCCACATTCAGCGTGTGATTGCGGTGTCAAGAAAAATAGTTGGGTCACCTTTATTTGCCGTCAGGAATGGGTTTGACGTTTCGAACAACGCATATTTTCCCTGAAAACTATTCCCAATGACATCTTGTTAACCATTCGGCATATCTTCAATCTTCAGAGAATTTCATCAAAATGTGTCAAGGAAATGTCAGAGTATTTCGTTTTCTAAATTCTGTGGCAGCCCTTTGAAACGCTCTAATTAAATAATTTTGCTTTTATTGGGGGAAAATGTTCTTTATCATTTTTTCAGCGCACAACACCAACACGTATCTCGACTCCTTTTTTCAAGAGCAATTAAAAAAAACAAAAATTGAAGTACGTGTTCCGCTACACTCTGGATATCCTATCCTAAACCGCTGTGTCGGTGTTGAAAAAGCACGTGGTGAAGGTTTCCCTTCACTCTCTCCACCTCCCTATGCTTGATTTCAAAAATACTCGCGCCCTGAATTCTATCCCGCGATCGAGGCGAGAGACCTCAAATAGATTTCGGTCGCAAAGGTCAGCCGCCGATGAAACATAATGCCTCGACGAAGAGAAACGGCTGTCGAGCCAAGTCGATCAACTTCCGCCTCTAGGAGCCATCCTCAAAAAAGGCTGCGCGTAGGCTTTCAACGCATAATCGGGTGGCAATTGGACTAAATTTTCCAGTTAGGAATTAACTATTCCTGGCTCCTTTTTGAATCAACACATCTGCTATTAGTTTCCCTATGCAGACAGGTGCTTTTGGGATAAGCCAGAAATAGTAATCTATATCACAAAATGCTGTCCAATTTTAGAGCACACAACAATGCTATGCTTGTTCTTCTAAATGGACCGAGTTTATCAAAAAGGAACCAACCCACATCAAGTTGAAACTGAGAAAAGGGGTTTGAAGTTTTATTCCTCCATAAGACTCATGTAGAAATTGAACTTCAACCCCCTCGGGGTCGGACTCCCCTAAAAATCAGTCTTTGCAATTTTCTCGATCTCTTGACAGAAATATCTCGACTCCTTTTCATGCTTTAGACTTTCGGTGTTTTAGTTTATTTTTCGGAGGCAAATACACTTTAGTTTTACAAAGCCCAACATTTAATTTTCATCATTTGTCAGAGAAGATTTTTATGTATGACCTATTTGTTTAGTCCTGTAAAAAAGTCAGTAAGGTACTACTAGGCTTTTTTAATTTATTTATTTTTATTTGATTAAAGAAAGCGTAATCTATTTCTTTGCTGATGATCAGGTGGTAATAGCTCAGGACGAAGAAGATGCGAATTACATGACGCGGAAGCTAGTGGAAGTATACCGAAAGTGGGGAATGGAAGTAAATGTGGTTAAGACGGAGAAGTTGGTTATCGGTGGTGATCAGCAAAGCATTGAACTGGAGGATGGCCGGAAGATCCTGGACTGTGAAGAGTATAAATATCTCGGAGTTCGGTTAACTAAGGACGGAAATTTGGATCGGGCCATTAAAGATCGGAATGTGCAAGGCAGGAAAGCTATCGCGATGCTAAATGGGGTTCTCTGGGACCAGAGTATCTCCAAGGAGACCAAAAGGAAAATTTACAACGTCATCGTGAAGAGTATCGTAACTTACGGGAGTGAGGTCTGGCAACTTAAGAAAAGAACTGAAGACATGCTTAGGGCAACCGAGATGGACTTTTGGCGAAGGTCTGCTGGGATATCGAGAAGAGAGCGTATCCGCAATGAAAGGGTACGCGAGATAATGGGTGTGGAAAAGGACATCGTGCACGATATCAGGTCCAAGCAGTTGGTCTGGTATGGACATGTGCGAAGGATGGCAGATGATCGGTTGCCCAAGCAGGTCTTCGATTGGGTTCCTCCCGGAAGGCGACGGCGTGGACGTCCTGTGAAAGGTTGGCGACAAGGGGTGGAGGAGGAGATCAGAAGGTGCCAATTGCCTGATGATCTCTGGGAGGATAGGGAGCAATGGCGATTGGGCGTCGCAGAGCGCGAGGCGGCGCTATAATCGCGACTTTATGTATGTGTAATCTATTTCTTGGCCAAAAGGAAGGGGGGGGGGGAGGTTAATTTTGATACGAATCCCCAGTGGTTCCCTCTTTAAGGAGGACCTCCGCCGAAGATGAGAGTAAAAACATCAATCAAATGAAGTCTTTAACTTGCTGTAACGTCCATTGTTCTAATTATTTAATCCAACAGGAACCGATTGGCCTGCAATTTCAAAATAATTACAGATTTTTTTCATTTTTCCTGTTTCAGGTGTATTATGCAAAAAAGAAGCGAAGAGCACAACAGCCTCAAGGGGAGGATAGTTCGCACAAAAAAGAGCGGAAACTGTATAATGATGGCTTTGACGATGACAACCATGATTATATCATCAAAGCTGGCGAAAAGTTCCTTGACCGTTATGAAATTCACTCCCTTATTGGCAAAGGCTCCTTTGGACAGGTTTGTGTCACTGCAAATTATCTCAATTTCACTGTGGTCAACACTGCGCATATTAAAAGTACAGATTCTTTCCATTGAGCTTTTTAAAGCACATGTGAAATACTACTTTTAAAGTTCCAAAAGTTATTCTTGGATGAAAACGTATGGTTTTGTTTTAGTTAGAAGGAGCGTTTTCAGTCTTAGAGGGTTCATGGGGAGAGAGTTTTTTCACAGGTTGATAATTGGTCCATTGAGCCAAAGGATGCTAATATGGCAATAGCTAAACTAAAAAACTTCACGTACCTCAACCGTACTGTTTAAAAATTTCCAGTTCAGTTCATTTTCTTAAAGGAAAGTAAGCCACATTTATGGCCTTAAAATTTTCACAGAATATTTTTCAGTTTCAGAGGAACAATTCACAAACATTTTCAAGAAATTATGTTAATGAGTACCTCAATCAAAAAAAAAAAAAAATGACCAAAGTTCTGTTAAATTGCAAATTCAGATAGAGATTTGATGGTGTGGATACATTTTTCCTTATTAGAGTGTGCTCTCTCAGCGTCTTCACAAATTTAATTGAATGATTTCCTCTTAATCAGCTATTAATTAATTCTTGAACTTAATGCTGAGGTCTAATTTGAGATTTTCCCTCTTTCCACAGGTGGTTAAAGCATTTGACCATGAGGATCAGTGTTACGTTGCAATAAAAATCATTAAAAATAAGAAACCTTTTTTGAATCAAGCTCAGATTGAAGTCAAACTACTTGAAATGATGAATCGAGCTGATGTCGATAATAGATATTATATAGGTAAGTCATTTTAATTATATTTTATTTTTCATTTGTGTCTGCAAGCAACGATTTGTGTTTGCGCCGAGCCATCAACACAGATTTGTGTTCCATTTGAAATGGTCCTGAAATCCTGAGAAGGGTTTTTACTCAAAACTCCTAATCTTGGTTTAATCGGCTCCGATTTTATTTCTGTCAATCTCTCAGAGGAATCATTTTGCCTGTCCTAGAGTAGGATTGTCTTTGCTATCTCATTAGGCCTTATCCGCATGAGCGTGGTTTGTGGAACTTCGGGCGAACTTGTTCCCGGAACTTACTACATCTCTGCCATAACTTATTCTGCGAAACTGCAGATGGTTGAACTAATTCGCCCAGGAGTTCCGCGAATAGCGCTCATGTGGACAAGGCTTTAGTTTAATGTAAGAACCTTTTGCTCTTTCTTACTTACCTCTCTGAATAACTTTTCTCATAGCCAATCAATCTATCAATTACATAACCAGTGGTCAAAGAGACATGGTCAACTGTGTGTATTTAAATTTTATTGGTGTTCTAGAATTTGTGTACTGTTTGATAAAGAGAAGTCAACGTAAAAAAGATGCCAAAATTATGTAGCGAATTAGCTTTAAGGCATTCTTGAATAGCAACAAAGTGATCCAAAAATTTACAGGAATAGATTTGTGTCATAAATATAAAACACTTGTTAATGTCATAACATATTGGATACGTGGGCAAATCATGCATCATTATTAATTAAAATTTTTAAATCCCCCTAATGTAGTCAAATCTGTGTGTAGCAATGTTCTACACTAGTAAATGCACCATTGCTTGTACTGTAAGATCCTCTTACTGATGTATATTCTTATTTTTTTCTTTTCAGTTAAATTGAAACGTCACTTTATGTGGCGGAATCATTTATGTCTAGTCTTTGAGTTGCTGTCTTATAATCTGTATGATTTACTTCGCAACACTAATTTCCGAGGAGTATCGCTCAATCTTACCCGCAAATTTGCGCAACAACTTTGTACTGCTCTGCTGTTCCTGGCAACGCCGGAATTAAATATTATTCATTGTGATCTAAAACCTGAAAATATTTTATTATGTAATCCTAAAAGATCTGCCATCAAAATTGTCGATTTTGGAAGTTCGTGTCAACTTGGTCAAAGAGTAAGTACTTGTTAAATGTTTGCTTTACAATTTAATCTAACTTCTGTACATGGTGTCTATGGCAAGAAGAAATCAAAGCGTGTAGCTTTTGAAGAAGAAAATTGTAGAACGCCCCCTTTTATATGAAGGAAATGGTGAAGCGCGCTCTTTCATGCATAGGAAACAATGAAGATCACACACAAATCTTTCGTGGACAGCAATGTGAAGGCAACCTCAGAAAATGCAAAAGCTGCCTCTGAAAATGTGAAGGCGAAGATCTTTCTGCACCTCTGAACTTCCCTCTATTACAATCTGGTGTAGTGTCCTTTCCGTCAGGAAACAAGAATAATATTTCTGGAAAAGTTCACTTCTTAGGATTGCTTGTCTCACAAATGTCTCAAAGAAAGTTTCAATTTTAAAGTTCATTCTGCTCAGTGAGCTGATTATTGAAACCAAGTCGGCACGATAAGACAAACCCTTTCTTTATTATGTCATATATCGCATCATTTTGGTTTGCTGACGTAAAATTTCCGCCTTCAGCGGGTCGTAAAAAAATACTAAAATTTAACCAGTGCCAAATTCTGCCGTAATTGTGCAGTTTCCGTCAAAAATGCTTTAATCCTTGATTTTCGATCGTTTGAATCCTACTGCTGGCAATAACAACACTGAGACAAACAAGGCCAAATTTTAGATTTTTATCCTCATATTCGAGCGGTAGACCAAATATATATTTTTCCCTATGTAATTTCTAATTTTCTGTGCAGAAGGTATACTCTCACCTTAACCATCCATATCTTGAAACTCATGCCAACTAAGTAGTAATGCCTTCAGGGGCTCAGTATATTTTCTGAAAGAAATCCAATATTCTTTAATGACATTTTCCATCCTCTTGCATTTGTTTTGTTTTCTTATCTGCTACATTTATGTAATTTTGCAGATTTATCAATATATTCAATCGAGGTTCTACAGATCGCCGGAGGTGCTCCTAGGCATACCTTATGATTTAGCAATAGATATGTGGAGTTTAGGCTGTATATTGGTTGAGATGCACACCGGAGAAGCCTTATTTAGTGGTGCCAATGAAGTAAGTGCTCCTTTTGTTATATTAGCCTCTAGCAAATTGCAAATGAAAAAAAAAATGAGGTTGAATTTTTCAATTTTCATTCCAGTTTGCCCTTCAATCTCGTAATTTGTTTTTCTGGCCTCTTCTTTTACACTCTAAAATTTGAAAAATCTTCAAATCTAAGAAAATTTCTAGCGGTGTCAAACGATGAAAATGAGTCTTAATCGGTCGCAGGGTTCAATGCTTCGAGTTACTCTTCAAATAGTGAAGGGAGGAATAATGTTAAATAAGGGATTACAATTTAGTTAATTGAGTAATTACAATACCCGAAGGAAAAACGTTTCTATCATTTGCAGTGAAATTATTGTCAACATTCATTTCATTTTCAGTTCTACGTGCACAAATCTTCAATGTGAAGAATCAGAAAATTTTGATCATTTTGGTCGTAGAAAATCTGGAAAAGTCAGGAAATTTTTTCCTGCTGAGTTTGTTGATACCCTGTGTGGCAATTCTCGAAGTTAAAGGCAAACAATGTTCCACGTTGCTCTTAGTACTATGAACTACCCTGTATTTACAATCATTCTTTTTGTGTGTCCACAGATAGATCAAATGAATAAAATTGTAGAAGTTCTTGGAATGCCTCCAAAACATATATTAGACCAAGCGCATAAAGCTAGGAAATATTTTGATAAGTATTTAGATGGTTCTTACGCATTGAAAATGCCAAGGGATGAAAGAAAGTATAAGCCTCCTGGAACGAGAAGGCTTCATGATATATTAGGAGTAGAAACTGGTGGTCCTTATGGAAGACGACTTGGCGAGCCAGGCCATTCATTTTCCGATTATCTTAAATTTAAAGTAAGTAATGAACTTTCGCACTTCAATTAACTCTTTCCTTACCATGGACCCAGCAGCTGCGCTCGATAAAACTGTACCCTTCCTGCAGCATTTCCGTCATTACTCAACAAATATAATGTAGCCGCGAATGCTCAAATGATTTTTTTCAGAAAAAATCTAAAGGATAATGGATTTGCTACTTTGCAGTATAAGACTTATACACTTGATGTTATCTTTACTCTGAGGCTTAAAGTTTAAGGAACTTTTTGCAAATAATTTTAAGACTCGAAATCCCCTTGGAATTGCCTGAGGTAAGAAGATTTCATTGTACCCAAGGCACTCTCCAGGAGGTACTAAGTCAATACAGTTTCAAAGTTCTTCTTATAATACCAGCCAATATGAAATCTGGATTATCCCTCAAAGTTCTTTTTTATCAGCACTCATTATTCTGTCAGTGGGGGAAAATAAACTTTCTTTACTGATATTATTTCTCTTTTTCATTTAAATTATACTATTTGTTAGCCAGTATGTTGGAATCTTTTAGCCAATGTGCGTTAAAAATTCAGCACAAAGCTGAAAATCTCAATACAGAGGGAAAAAGCTCATAAGGAGCACAATAAGAGCTCTTTTAAAGAGATATGCTGTTTGGTGCAACACTACTATTTGTTGTTTCAAAACTAGCGCCTATCGCCAGGTTTTCAAGAAACATAATTTGTTTACTGGCTTGGTTGCTTCATTTTTTTAATCATAATCGTTAATCGTAATCACTCCCAGTTAAACAACAGATGTTTTTCATCATTAATGCTGTAATAGTCAAATGAAAAACCAACCAAAACATTTTAATTAAATTTGTTTTTCTCAGATCTTCAATTAAGTCACATCTTAACCTTGCAAGACTGCTGCCGTATCTTACTCTGTAGTATAAAATCTCAAGAGTAATACACAACGCCTGAGAAGAGAAATGATCAGAAGGCATAGCCGGCGTAGCCATCTAAGTGACAAAAGTGGATTTACTGTCTTTTATTTCATTTGAATTAATGTATGAGAAAACATCATTAGTCATCTCTTTATATTATATTATTATTTTTTCTCTCTCAATTCATTTTTCCTGCAACTTATGATGTGTATTCTTCAACAGGATTTAATCTTAAGAATGTTGGATTATGATGCCAAAACAAGGATAACACCCTACTACGCTTTGCAGCACAATTTCTTCAAGCGAACAGCTGATGAAGGCACCAACACTGCTGGTACCACAAGTCCTGCCAACATGGATGCTTCTAATGCCCAATCTCATCTAGTCACTGTACATCAGTCATCAGGTGAGTCCTCCAACCTGTGTCCAGAATTGTCTTAGTGTCATCAGAGCCTCATCCTTTAAAACTATGATGATCATTAATTCAGAAATGCGTCATCGGTTTTTTGCCCATGCGTTCCTTTGGCCTATTAGTATTGTGTTACACTACATCTAGAAGAAACTGGAAAATAAAATGAATTCTGGTCAAAGAGACCTTAATATTTTTTCGTCTCATTTTCTTCATGTGTGTTCATTCAGCTTTGCAGGCAAAGCAAGTGGTTATCTTTTTACACATCCGCTGGCTGAAGATGTAGTGAAAATGCTCTTTTTTTATTTCTTTTTTAAATGGTTCTATCATACCTTTTTGGTGTAACTCTGACTCTGCTGGAATTTATGTCAGTTGTAGGTGCTTTGAAAATTTGTAGATTCTATTTCTTACAAATTTGAATCCTATAAAAAAAATACTGCTCTTAAAATTTTATAAATCATGAGAAGAAATGTCTCCTGATAAAAAAAAAATTGAAAGTGAGAAGAAAATAGCAGATAAAATTCTCATTATTGCAACAAGAAGAGGGTACATAATGTAAAATTCGTTGAAATAGTGCTCAAAAAGAGCTTCATTTTCTAAACTCAACGTTGTGTGGACCGTGATAGAGTAAAAATGTGGTAATCCTAGAACATAAAATGTAGCTGATCATAGGACCATCCTGAGAAAGAGACCATAAGCAAGTTTCATAAAGAATGCCACATTATTTCGAGTAATTTTTTTTAATCTCAAAATTATGGAAATCATTAGAATGGATGAAACATCTGAAAATTTCATGATCCGAGGAGAATGTATCTGACAGCCTATTTACCAGTTCGAAAAACCTTTTTCTCAGCTTGTATGTTTAAGGCAGGTCTCGATTTTGGGCAGCTGTGGATCTGCCCAACTTTATCCTAGCCATTCATGATATGCCCATGATATTCATGATATGGCGTCCATGATATTCATGATATGGCTTTCGCCATCATTTTTTTTTACTCATTATTAGTCACCCATCATTTTTGCTGGTATTTCCGCTTTTTAATGACCTTTGTGTCTTTGTTTTGTTGCGGAATTTGAAGATCAATTACCTGCTCAGTTCGTAGCTCGATGACTATCATTAAATTTGGGGTCGAATACACCCCCTTCCAACCAATAAAGCTTCTATGTAAGTCTAATATCCCCTACCTGGATGTTGTGTGTAAATGACAATATTTATATATTAATATTAGTTCGTGTAAATGTTTGAAGTATTTTAGTAGTCTCTTTTTTTTATCTGTGTCTACATTTGGATAAATTGTATTGTTGTTTCCCCTTATGGTGGACCGATCACCCCAATGTGAATGTTGAGAAGCATGTTTTCTTATCTTTTATTTTTGTGTGGTTTTTCTCCCTTCATCCCTCGCAGCACTGAAGGGGAGGGGGGACAACTAATTTTCTCTTGATCTATTTTCCATAGCAGCAATAAAAATACATAGGGTAAATAGATATGAAGAAAAAAATCTTAATTAGTATCAGTGGAAGTTGTAGCATACTTACTTTTTAGTGAAATGTAAAATATCCTCCTTTTTTTAAGCTTCAATAAGTGCTAAGCTCGGCAAAATTTCATCAGTTTTTTCTCGTTCAAATGAAAAGCTTTCAGTTTAAACTCAAAGCTTCCATAAATATGTTCCTTTCTGACTTCTCTTAACTTCTTTAACTAATGGTCTCAGAACCAAAGTATTTAAAACCAACAGAAATTTAAAATAAAGAGTTTTGAGCTCAATAAAAATGAACACAACAATCGAACAAAATGAAAGAACATCCACTCCAGTCCAGCTGTCCTTCACTGTAAGAAAAGTACTTTTGTTTTTTAATCTCTTGCAAAGTATGCCTCATTACTTTTTACATTTTTCTCTCTTAACCTTATTATCTCTTTTTGGTCCAAACGTATTCCCATCATTCCTTTTTGTCTTTTCATCCCTTGCCAGTGTTTGTCTTAGTTCTTCTTTGACTCGTAGTTATAGGAAAAATTTCTACTTTAGACTGATTTAAAGGTCATTGTCTTTTGATATTGGATACATAGACAGCCAAAGCAAAAAAATGCATTTGTCTAAGTGCGATTTTCTAAGTCTCCAATTTAAGTATTTCCTAATCTCCTACCCCATTTTATTTTATTAAAAGAGAACAAACGGATGTCATTGCTTAAAGTATTGTAAGAATATTCTTCACTCATAGAAAAAAAATCAGAAATGTTTTCAAGAAATGTATTTGCATTTTTTCTCGTGTAAAAAATAACCTATGACAAGAGATCTGCAACTGAGGTACGCATTTTTGCAGTTTCAACATTGATTGGTAAATTTCCCGTCATTTCGAGTGTTCTTTTTCTTTTTATAATTCATCAAATATTCTTTCAATTGCTTTTTCCCCCTCTCTTTTTAATTTCAATCATTTTTTTTGCATATCCATTTATTCATTTCATTTTTAATGGCAACAATATTTTGACTGGAAAGTGAATTTGATTTGAACTTTTTCTGGCGGATTTGAATTTTAATTGATATCCCTCCTATCCTTAACTTCACCCTTGTAGTGTTGTCGTTCATTTTTACAGTTTTTTGCATTTTCTGTCAGCATAATGAATAACACGGTTACCTGCTTTCTGTTGTTCGTTGTTGCATAATGTGTCCTCCTTGTATGGATTTTAACTTTGTGATTGTTTGAATTGAATTTAAATACTCGTTTAGAAATAGTTCTCTCTTTTTTTTCCTCCTCGAATCCCTCTTTGCTCTAACTTTAAGACAGGCGAACTCTTAGACTTTCTACTGCAAAAACCAGGAACTGTTATGTCCATCTGAAACTGAATGTATTTATGTCACCAGATTACAAAATCCTCTTCCCAAGTTCTTAAAACTGAGCTTTATTTTTAATACAGCAAGACTCAGACTATCCCAATTTTTTTGGGCCGAAGGCGGTTAATATAATCTTCGCATTATTTTTTCAGAATTTGTTTAAAAAAAAAAATGAATAAATAAATATTTGGTAACAAAATTTTTCTGGTTTTAATACTCAAACAAATGAGCCTCTGTAAAGTTTTCTTACCTTCAGTCGCATAGGTCTGTTTGGAAAAATTGTTCATCTAAGTATTCTTTATTCTGTCTTGCTTCATTACAATGATTTATTATTATCCCGATGGAGTAACATGATTTCGTTGAATTTGTTTACAGTTCGAGGGCCAAAAGTGGATCACTCAGCAGCTCAGCTGAGCAGCCTAGTGAACGCGATGGACTGCGAACCTCCACACAGCCACCACTACCACCCTGTGATTCTTCGAGGACCGCATCGAGGTTATGCGCCCTCTTCGCTACCGCCTTTGTACGGGCCATCACATCATGCCTCCATGACGAGCTACATTCCTCCTGCAACGGGCGTCCAGCGATCCTCGGACGTCATTCAACGACCCTCAGAACTGATGCAGCGTAATCAGGACCAGGAAGATTTGGTGGGTGTATGTCTTCAACAAAGCCCTGTTGCAAGCCATTAATATTTAGATTAATGAACACATACGTGTTTTGTATTTTTCTAGGTAATGTGTGATCCTTTTTTATAAATAATTTTCTATGTTCAAACAAATGTGAATACTTGTGTATGTTTAATATTTTTTATTGACTTGTATACATATTTATATATAGCGTGCTTTGCTAGTTTTCATATGAAGAGAAAGTTGTGACAGTGAATTGATAAAAAAAATAATTGATATTCTTCCAGTTCCCTTTGTTGCTTTCTTTGAAAGGAAACTGGTCAAACTTACCGATTACTCAGCATGAATATCCTGGGCGATTATTTTTAAAACATACAATATTGACTGATTGCACTTAAAAAATGCATCTGAAGAAAGTAGTTTCTCCATGCAGTTTTTCACATGATAATCTGTGTCTGATACCCTCTTGTTATTAACCCAGGTGTGAAATGAAGGAAATACAAATTGAAAAACAGAGGTAGGTTTAGACGCATTTGTTTCTTTTATATTGACCTATCTTGACAGATCTTTTTTAAAGTAAGTTGTAGTTATTCATATTGTGTTCACTTTCCAAAAGTAGAACACTACACCTTTTTTGAGTTTTCCCTTAATAGTGTGACTTTGCGCTGGCAGAACGGAGGTACCTAAAGCACTTGTCTGTGAAGAGAGAAACAATCATGCATTTTTAACAAAAGCCAAAGAGCTTTTGATTTCAATGAGGAGCATTGATGGAAGAGTTGTCCAAGTAGCAGTCGATAGAAATCTTTTGACTGGTTGAATGACATAACGTCCTGATTAATCGAACAGTTCTGTTAAGTTTTTGATGACTTGAGTGTAAACTAAGATGTTGCTGATTTCCTGAGTCTCTTAATTTGGTATAATCGACACCAAAGTCGAAAATTTCAAAAGAAGGTCGCCTTTTGCAAAGAAAAGATGATAGTTTAAATATTGAATAATATATAAAATCGCTGCTGTACAACTATGTGAAGTAGCACAAATTTTTCATTCTTCATCATCAAAGTATGAAATTTATCACTCCAATGAGCTCTGTACTTGACTGCAAGAAACTGTAGATCAGAGAATAAAATGTCACCCTAGAAGTGTTTTTTAAATTCTAAAATTGTTGACATGGAAGAGCAGGACTTGGCGACGCTGCAGTAAAACTTTAAGATAAAAAAAAGAAAACAAGAGGCAAATTAGCTTGCATCATATTTACCAAGCTGTATGCACTTTCTGGGCCAAAAATGTGAGCCATGCCACTCAGAAGTTTAAACAAAGACCTTTTTATGATGCCCATATTTTTTTCCCTGTCTTGTATCTCAACTTAATTTTCACAAGTATCAGTATAATTTGAGGAGCCTCATCAAGAACTAAAAGTCAATTCATTGACTGCCAAACGGATGGATCATTTCCCAAGGCAAGGGTGAACGTTCGGAAACTTCTTAACTAGTTGTTTTCACAACCTTCGATTTTTAGCTGGTTTTTCAGGTTATCTCTTACTGTTAGTTTTGACTTCTAAAGTAGGTCAGTATTTTTAGTCACAGAATCCTGTTTTGATGGTTTGGGTTAGCAAAGAATAATTTGAGCTGTCCGAACGCCACGTATCTACGTCCAATATCAATGGTGACATTACTCATTGAAAAACTTGGCGTATGGTATCATCCATCGCGGTAGTGTGTCCCATGGATTCTTCCATCGTGGTTTTATCAATCAGTGACACTCATGTGCACTGCTTGGTCTTCGAAAAATGTGAATGGAACCCAGATGGACAGTATGCTTTACTGTGGTGGGTGATGTCATACATTGTGTTTTTTGTTGGGTGATATCTCCGTGGATATTTGAAGTAGAAACGTTGTGTTTGGACCACTCTAAATTTCTTGCTCATATGCCAGCATAAACCCTCCTAACTCGATTCTGTGACCAGCGTAAATCAACCACTGTAATGAATGCCTGTGGGCCACGGTCACCTATTATAAAGTAATGAATAACTTAATGAGCCAATGCACGTACTAAAATAACAACTTAGTCTAAGGAGAAGCTGTAAAAAAAAAAAAAAAAAAAATCGGTACGTTTCAAAATATTAACTATTTTATGTCCAGAAAAAAAAAAAAATAGTAAAAATGAGTTGTCGGTTCACTGTTATTTCGAGACCGAAAACATTTACTGAGTGGTTAGGTAACGCTAATCGACGACTCACTTTAGTTTTTGTTCTTCCTGGTTGAAAATGGGGTTGTTAATGTTTCGAAATGTCCCGGTTTTTTTATTCTTTTATCTATTGTATTATTTACAGCCTATGATAAAACCTGAAATGATCCACCTTGTAATGAGACGGCAAGTTTTGGATACCATATTGTGTTCAATTAACTCGTAATTTTTCTTGCTCTTGTATTTGTATCATGTGTATTTATTGTGTTCGTGCTCTGGATTTTATATTTGAAACCATTTTATAACTCCGAAAATACAATTCAATGATCAATGTTTCCTTTAAATACTTCAGAGTTAGAGAACACAAAGCATGTATGCGTGCAGCAGGGAAATAAAAATTTGTATTCAAATAAATGAGTGTTTTGCTGCAACCTACGCGTTTCAACCACAAAAAGCTACATGCCATGATAGAATACATTGGATTAAGATTGAATTAGTATGTATCAAAGAAGTTTCCTCTTGTTTTCTCGTAAACCTTTGCATTTTCCCTTTGTTGAAACTGTCGCTGAAGTGAAAATTCAATGTTGAATCAGTGGCGAGGGTCAGAATGTTTACATTTTTTGTCTAACTATGAAAACTATCTAGTGAGCTGAAAGTGGAAACATTCTTTGTTTTAAAATCGGACATGTATTAAAAGAGTTATAATGGAATTTGTGGATTTATTGAAATACACAGGTTTAAATAGGAAATGCTCTGCAGTGACGTCACAAGGCGGTCCATTTTTTTAACTAAAGAACAATTTACCTTCTTGATTTCATTGTAAAAAAAAATTGTGAAAAATGTTCTGAACTCAGCTTCTTTACTACTTTTATGTGAAGCAAGATTTTTTCTTCTGCCACTGACTCATTTAGTCGATTCTTGGACTCCGCCCATAGAAACTGAATCTACCAACTACATCATATTCTTTCAGAATCTCCTCTCTCGTTATTTGTTAACAAACCACGGAACATAATTTGTCAATTTGTTTTATAGAATTATGTTCACCGAGGGAAGAAGTGCATGATTGATTTCATTGAACATGAATTTAAGGAGCAAGCCAAAAATCAAATGAACCAAAGAGACTAGGTCAGGCTGGAAATTTCTTTGCTTTCAATTAATCTCAATGAATGATATTTTTAGCATCTCATTGAAAAAAATGCATGGGGAAACGTGTGAGATAATTTTGTAATGTTACAATGTAGCTAGATCTCTTTTACCTGATTGCGTCCATTTAGAGCGTAGATGCGTTGTTAATCTCAGTTAACTGCCCATCAGGTTGCCCAGCAGACTCTCATCGAACTACCGCTGGGCACCCAGCTAACTTCTAAAAGTGACTCGTAGTTGCCCAGAAAGTTGCTCAGCAGAACACAGAGCTCTGAGAGCTGCTGAGTTGCTGTGCATCTCGCTAAGTATTGTTTAGACCCTTTTTTCCAGCTCTGAACAACGCACTGGTTCAATATGGTGCCTGAATGCTTATGTTTAAGTCCTTTTTGTCAAGTCATTGTGCAATTTTAAAATTTGCACCTTAGTGAGATTAACAATGCATCTTGTGACAGGTGGTCTACCATCTCAAGCCTAGTCATGTATTCGTATCATATTTCTTAAAGAAAGCGAATTTTGTATTCTTCCAATTTTCAATACTTAATAGTAAAACCGCCAAACAAACAGACACATTTTTATCCTTTGATGATCGCTTTTCAGCCAGAAGATTTGTAATGACTGGAAAAGTAGACACTGGGTTCTCCCCTGTAATTTTCTGTACAAATTGTAATTTTTCTTCTTATTATTTATTTTCTCCTCTTGAATTTTTCTCCTTGTGAAGTAAACAATGCAATGCCGTTTAGTCTGTTACCAATGAAGGTGTTGTTTGTATTTTGATGTTTGACCACCCTTGTAAGCCTTAATTTGTCCCTTGCAGTTGAATCAGCGATTTGATGAGTGAGTAAATTTTGATGCAATGTGAATAGCTCCCTAAAAACTGGATTCTAATTAAAAAAAATTGCAGGTTTTGCAATGATTATTTTGAATCTGAGAAAAATAACGTAAATGATATGGTTAAAATATTTCCATCCATTTGAACTGGTTCTTGGTTTATTCCATCGTGTCAAATCCAACTCGCTTTTTGCAGCTTAAGTCAACGACCACCTGTATTTTTTGCTCAATTATTTCATGTATCATCGTCCAGGAAACAGTACTGCCCAACTGAAACTAAGCGTATAGCCTATTCTTGAGGATAAGTTAGTGACTTTAATCCATAATGCAGCATGAATAGAACAACTGAGTGGCCTGTCTCAAAACTTGAAATTCCATTTAAGAGCTCTGTAGTACCAAGTGGAATTTTCACGGTCTCATCCACTCTAAATGACCAGAAATATCATTTGTTCTAAATCTAGAGCACTAACGCAATATTCTTTTCCTAAGCGATGATAACTGAAACTTGAACTTATGAATTTTTAATTCGTCAGAATTTCAGCCAAGGAGCTGTTTGCTTATATAATCTTGCACAAGCTCTAGATGCAAAAAAGTAGAATTATTGTTTAAATTCAAGAATTGATATGGATAAGTGTTGGTATCAGCAAAAAAACCTCCCTTAAAAAGATCCATTTTATTATTCTGTCCCCCCCCCCCCCCCCCNATCTATTTTACCTCTACACATGTATTTAATGATTTATAATGCTAAGTTAGGCATGTGTTGTTTTTTAAACTCACTTTGTGAACTCATGAAAGCGGTGATTCTTTTTCAAGTTGATTAAAAAGTTAATATTCAAATTGCATGAATAATAGGAGCCTTTCGACTGTATACTCTCTGTATAGGTAACTTTCTCTGTTTCATCTTTTCTATCATCTCCTTGAAAGTTGCTAAGTTAAATCTTGTTAACTGTGAATTATTGAGTAACAATTCATTGTACTTCTCTTTCTAAGTCTGATGGTATGTTTATTCCTTTTTTATAAAAAAATAATTATTTGAATAAAAACGATGAAAAAGTAATTGGCCGAACGAAAATGCTGTGATGTTTTTTTACTCCTACAACGTATGAATTTCTGTTTTTTCAAAACATGTATCTGCCATTAAAGTAGACTGCAGTTTTTCTGTCCTTTGTTCCCTCTCTTCCTGCAACTGAAGTTTTAAGACTCAATTCCAATAGTTGTTGACCGCTACAGATCAATGAGTTTTACTCATCACAGGTGATTTCATCAATCTAGATATCTGACTCCTGCAATAGACTTGGTTGTAATCCATGAACCTTTTCAGTTTTTGTATTTGTTTGTCCGTGCCCAATTTAGGGCAAGTTTGCTAATAACCAAACATCGTCTAAGGTGACGAAGAAACGTTTTATTAGTGTCCACGCCAAAAAAGTTTACCCACTTTTAAACAGCGACAGAAGATCCTCTTGACATCATTTAGTATGGAAAGTAAATTAGAGAATCAAGATGGCGGATCTTCTGTCGCATTTTAAAGGAGCGTAAACTTATTTAGCTTGGACTCTACTTGGACGAAGTAAGTTCTTTTCCAGCGTATAAACTATGAAAATCACCTGTGATTGACTAAATCTGTAATTACCTCTTCATTATTGTGAATAATTTAAATTTTTTGATACATGATGGAGGAAACCTGCAGAAATTTCTCTGTGCATTTTGACAAAACTTTCCAAGTTTGTACATTACCGTTTAAGTCCTAAAATTCAGGTTTTTTCCTCCTTTCTCTCACGCTGTCTAACCCTTCCTCTGTTTCTTTCCTGAGTAAAGAGTAATCTTTGTAAATTACATTAGGATTGAATTTTTGATCAACATTTTGTATTTTATACTTCTGGATCAAATACAAAAATTTCTATTGTAAATTTTTATGCAAATAAATGAATGATGACAAATTAAATTCTATCTTTCATCATTTTATGATCCTAGCTTTTCCAAACCCACCCTTCGCTGGGTATACCTATGCAAGTCATATGATCCGGCGCACCGCAACAGTTTTACTGCATTGCATAATAATCTTGTCTTTCCATGCAGATTAATTGGATTACATTTTGCAAAAAGGAACCACTATCTTTGCCTCTCCCATAAAAGCACATATCTGCACAGGGAAACTGATGGCATGTATGTTGTTTCTAAAATAGACCGGAAATAGTGGTTCTTTATTGCAAAATGTAATCCAATTTTAAGTAGCCTCTGCAATATTTTCTCCTTTTTTTCGTTTCTAATCGACTAACGCCAATTTCTGTTTTTTTAAAAGTTGCATTCATCCAAAAAAAACATGGAACATTTGAAAGACCAATGGACCACTATTCAAGGTAGAAATTCACGCTTTCCGATACTTTTTTCTGCTTCAAAATTCTCACGTAAAGCACAATTTGCAAGATAAAAATTACTGAGATGAACTCCTAAGCAAGATGTTAAACTTATTGTTTAGCACGGTTTACACAAAAAAATGGAATTTCCTGCTCACAAGAAGAACCAGAAGGAAACTGCCTGAATCAAATCAAGCACTACAGTGGCTGCCCCACCCTGTTTCAAACAAAGTGTTAACAACTTGCAACAGCTAGGCTGAGATGAAGGTTTCCATTTTGCCATTCCACAAAGGCTGTTGCAATAGGTAACAGTTAGTTTGAGATTTTGCTCAATTATCTAATGATTTTTGTATGAGTGGGAAGTTGGAATTTATGCACCAGAAAGTGTCAATATTCTGGTTCCAAGTTACATACAATAATTTTTTTGAACAGATGGTCCACACGAAATTTTGACAAGATAAAGTACTACCCTTAAGTTCGTTCCTCGTCTAGTAGTCCATTTTAAAAAGCGAAGAAAGATATTTTTTATAAATTCATGCTCATTCAATAACTGATATTAACAAAGAAAATGCTACAGTGAACAAATTTGCAGAGAAATAGCAAAATTCAAACAAATCTGTGTTTACTTCCCCACCTTGATTGCGTGGCATTACTACTGTATAGTTTTCCTCACTTATCCAATTCACTGCTTGCTTCTGCCACAGTAGCAAGTACACTAAAGTGAACCTCAATTTTGCTTGAACCCCAGCAGTGACCCTTTTTTTAAAAAAATATGCCACAAGCCATTACAGCTCTAATAAGTATATTTCGACGGTGTAAGTCGGCAATCACAGAACTCAGTTTGCGACGTTGCAGCAGACTTCCTGTCACACTTTATTTTTTAAACGGAAAACTACTCAACGGCAATTCTTTAAAACTGCCGTGATTTTTCTCCTCTGTACTAAGAAAATTCTGCAAAAACTTCTGCGAATGATGTCAATTCGTTCTCCTTTAAAAAAAATGACATAGAGACGGAGATTTTCTGACACTGCAAACGAGATATGTGATTGTGGACTTATGATATCGATTTGTAATTATATTGCATTATATTCCTATCAAATCACTATTTGCGACCATATCTGTGAAAAGGGACTCTATATAATCCGGGAGAAAATTTTCTCCAACTTTTTGCAAATGCATGGAGGAAGGAAATATGGAAATTTTGGCGCAAGTGCGCCCATCGAATCTCAAAAATTGAAGGAAATATTAGTCATGGAGCTCCAAGATATAAATTCCTAGTTTGGTGAAAAATGTTGGTCTCAGTGTTAGCAAAAAGTTGAGGAAAATTCTTCCCGT